AAAAATCTTTCTAATAAACCAGACCTGATATTGGAGCCCTTCAGATCACTTTTTCACTAGGATCCCTTTTCACACTCTCCTTTACACAAAAAAATTTCAGCCTTTTTATAGTCCTCAAGAAGGGGGGAAAAGGGAACCTGCGCAACTAAAGTTTAGGGGTGGGCGGGTTGGCTTGGTTAGAAGGACAGGGCCTGAGGCTCTTTTCAAAAAGGTTAAATTGGGTGGGGCCTTGAAATGGCCTGGCGCGCCTTGAGTATGCCTTAGGATAGGCCTGAATTGGAATGTTCTGGAAGCATATTTTAATTGTAGTTCCGGTTTACATCCACAGTGTCTTCACCTTCTGAACTATCCTCTTCAGTTTCATCCTCATCATCCGAAACCGAAGGGAGGAGTCCCTCCTGAAAAGATATCAATATATTACACTGGATAGAATTGTGGACAATCCACATAGGCTCCTTGGTTTAAATGAATTTGAAAAAAAAACAGACAAAATTGTTTTGGGTGTGTGACACTTACATGTATAACTGCGAGCGAAACCAACTGTTCCTCTGTCTCTTCATCTATTAATTTGGTAAGGAACATGTTAACTATCTTGTCAATGCGAGATTGGATTCGCCTTTTGTTGGAAATCTGCAGCAGGTCAGTTAGGTCCGCGTGTATTTCGCATTGTTGAAGTTTTATGCATCGGGCCAAGACGCTGCCTCCTGGCTGCTGTTGCAGGGAGGTGTAGCTGCCTCGAGGCTGTGCGCGTGTGGCTCCTGATAAGATAACCAGCCCGTCTGGTTTGAGGATGACAAAGATTGGTGCGCTGAGGTTGTAGATATTTAGCTGTCTTAAGTCCACCATAATGGAAGGGCTGGACTTGCCTTTAGTGGACACAAAAAAAGCTCGGTAGTTATTCATTCTCATGTCTGAGATGATGGACTCTATCTCGGGTGTATAGTTTGAGATACCACATACTATGATGTATAGATGCCGGATGGCCATCTTGTAGAGTGCGTTGAATGGAATCTCTGTAATAAGATAAATTAAGGTAGAGTCATTATTATATAGTGTTCGATAGAAGTACTGAAAAATATGCAGTATTTCTTCGTCTTAGGTTTCCAGTCTTTAACGATATATAAACTGTGGTGTCCAGAATGTATCACAGATATATAAATAAAACAATTACTATCGCAGGAAGGTAATAACAACAAAAAAAAAAAAATTTTACATTTTTTACGATTATACAATTTTTACTTTATATGAAGTCAAAATGTGAGAGGTTGTTTAAAGGCATACTAGCCTTACGCCATGATCAATATGTGACAGGAGGATTATTTAAGGTTTATTGCCCTTACATAATGTGCTGATATTGAAATGATAATAAGGGGATTAAAAAAAAACTTTGCTTTAAAGGGATCAAAAAAAAAATATAATTTAAAAGGAAACCTCTCTAAAAAAAATATACAGTAGGCGACACATCTGTTAAATTGAAAGTTTTTATACTGATCTTAAAGTGCATACATAAAAAAGTGTAACTTTTAACAAAATAACTAGCGGAAATTTGGAGAATATGCAACAATAGCCAATTGTGGTAAAAAGTCTTGGTATAGAGACATCTTTTTGTTATGTTTATTTTTAGCAGGATAGTATTGAAAGAATAGCAAACAAAAGAACAAGTACCGAATGTTAATATTACTCGAAGCTTGTCTAAGAGTTTTTTTTTAAATTGCTGAAAATATAAATTTTTATTTTTGTTAGAACTTTGCATTCGAAATATACCTTGCCCTTTAAAGAGACAAAATAATCACCTGTCATAATGTTGGGTGAGGAGAGACAATTGAGATAGATCTCAGGGGTAGTGGTCGACTAGTAAGCACGAAAATTGTACGCAAATATATAGGGGGGATAATGGCGGGTGTGAGGCGGGTAATAAAGGAATTATGCGNAAATTTGACAATGATTATGAATAGAGGAGGTGTAAGAAAATTGGGGTAGCTTAGTATAAGGAGATAAGGGGATTATAATGGCCCAAACGCCGGATTAAGGGTGTGAAGGGCACGACATATTATCCGACGATAAAATAATATAATTTAAATTTCAGGAGAATGTGGGGAGGAGGGGACAACCCGAGTTATGACGAGGATGGGGATTTTGACGTAGAACAAGCCGAGGTTTTCGAGGATGTTCACCCGGTGCTAGGTGTCGTTGTTAAGAACAGTATTAACATCAATGTTAATGTAAGTGGCAGTCCTGGATTTGTGAATAATGTAAGTGTGCAGGATAAGGAGTTAGCAGCGAATGTAGGAAAGAGCGCAGTGGTTATAGAAGAAGAAGTACACAAGTTGTTGAAGAAAGCGCTAGAGAACGGGAACGAAACAGGAGAGGAGTCTGGAGGTGGAGTTTACGTGGTTATTGGAGTGGTTATCGGAGTTTTAATCATCATTATAGTTATCGCAGTATTCTTGATATACAGGTGAGAGAATTATAAAATACTAAGAGCGATGCAATGTAGAAAGCGAACATAGCAAAAAGAAGACAAATGTCTCGGATTTTGCAAGGGTTAAAAAAATTGTTAATTATTTGATCATTATTAAACATTTTTTGCGCGGGTTATGCGATGTACATAAACATTTGAAATTTCTTTTTGCTCAGTTGTATTAGTGTTTATTTGATACAAGCCTGATAATTTAATTTTATACATAAATTAATTAAGATTAAAATTAAGGAACAGTAAGTTGTGTGCACGGAGGGAGAGGAATGAGCTTTCAGAACCACGGTCAAAGTGGAAAGGAGTGGGAAGGAGGATAAAGGTACGATAAATTATTGAAAGTAGCATTATAATTTAGTATTTTGTTAAGATGATGGTGACTAAAGATGGGCGTTAGGTTATAGATAGTATGTAATTAAAGGAAAACTGAGAATTGGGGTTGGAAAAAAGTTAAATGAATATTGATTTAATTCTATACTTTACAGGATGGTTTCCGTGGAGAGCTTATGACAAAACCGTCCCAAGAGGGCAAGAGTTGTTCAAGTACAAACATTGCGACGGTTGAGGATGCAGGGTATCTGGTTCCGAACAATGTTCTAGGAAGTGATCAGACAGAGCTTACGCAGAGCCATGGGAGGAAAGAAAGCGGATTAGAAGTATCAGATATGAAGGTAAATGAAACATGAAGATGAAAGGGAGATTAAGTGTTACTAGGGGTGAAGAAAACTGTACAAAAACAAGGAGATAGAGAGTTTACGGGGTTATTGTTGCTTTGAATTTAAACATATTTATATAATGTGTTATATGTTTTAAATAAGTATGTTTTTGTTAGGTTTAAGTTAAAAAGGGCGCAATTTAATTAATTTTTTTATTTTTAAATGCAATTGATGAGTGGCGTGAAATAATTAGGTATAATACGAAGAAGGGATTTAATGAAATTATGTTTCAGGGGCGAACTGGCGTAGCCAATGCGAATTTCAGAGAGCGCGAGGAGGCTGATTATGAGGAAGTACAGGTTGAGGGTGCTGGAACCGCGACACAAAGATTCACAAGCAGTTTAGAAAAACCTACAAGTTCTGCGAAAATTGGCATAAAAGTTAGTTTGGAGAATGTGAAGGTTGAAGATCTCATGAACCACACTTATGTCGACACAGAGTTTGGATCTACGGGATTTATTGAAAGAAGTTTAAAGGGAGCTGAAGACATGAAAGGAGCTGTTACGGTTGATATGAAGACGATTACGAAGAAAATGAGTTTGAGACCAACAGATGAAGGTGAAGAACTGTATAGGTAGAAGGTTAGATGAGGGGGGGGGGGGGTTTAAGAAGAGTGGTATTAAGATAGAATGGTATAAATGTAAAGTTTGTTTGTCATGACAGAAGAAGTTTTGTATATTCTGGGCTGCGTAAATTGCGTAACATCTAAGTACAAAGTTTAAGAGTACGTGGGGGAGGATAGGGTAAGTTGTGGGAGTACAGGTGTATAGTGTACGTTGAGAGAGAGAGACCGGTTTTAGGCCGCGGAGCGGTGAGCATGTGGTTTCTGTTTACCTTCAATTCGAGATTAGGTATTAGTGAAGCAAGGTGAATTACGTGACGGCCTGGTAAGAAAAATTATTGATAATTAGGGGGGAGATGGGGGGAGTTTTGGAAAAGTTATAATATTGGGGAATATTAAATAATTTTGCAACGTTATAAATTATGTGATAAGAAAATTAAGAAGAAAATAGAAGGTGTAGGGAACAGAAGGTTTATAATATTGGTTAGGGAAAGGAAGGATTGTTTTGGAAATATATGGGTGAAAAGTGTCAAAAGATTTTTTTCTGCAAGACGGGGATTTTCGTTAAGTTTGAAAGGGGAAGGAAAGGGTAAGTTTTGGAGAAATGTAGGGGTTGGTAAGATTTGTAAAGGAAGGACAAACATGTGCCATTTTTAAGTTAGGGGTGGAGAGGGTGGAGGGGGTGTTAGATAGTAAGAGGGGGACAAGGTTGGAAGTTTAAAATATTAAGTTTCGATTGTTGTAAGTAGGAAGTGAAGGGTAAATTATTAAGAAGGATGGACGTTTTAATTGACAAGTTAGGTTTTAAGATAGAAGAATATTTTTTGTTATAAGAATAGAGTTTATAGGAAAGGAGAAAAGTTTCAGAAAGGGTAAGGGTGTAGAAGAGAAAGGTTGGTAGTAAGAATAAAGGGTTTTAAGAAACAATAAAGGATGATTAAATGGAAAGATTGTTTTTGTTTAAAGATACGTTAATTTAATTGAGAAAA